TTCTCCCATGTAAACTATCACATAATTCACAATAAAACATTTAAGAAAAAATAAATAAATAAATAAAACCAAAAGGCAAGAGAACAAACAACTAACAAAGTGCACATAATTTGTTGAATGTAAAACTGATGAGCTTGTCTGTTAACCTTCACTCGATTCACAATAAAAAGTAAAAAGAAAAAGTTTTTGGAAAAATAATAAATAAAATGAATGGCTTACACACACACACACAAAAGGGTCAATTGAGGAAGAGGACATAATCATAATAAATACCTTTTCTCTCAATGAGAAAGCCTCAAAATACATAAATTAATCTTTAATAGAATTAAGAATCTTGGTCTGGCGCTGTCAGTTAATGTGCCAGACTACAAAGCTTTTTGAATTTTGCAAGGTTGGCAGTTCAAGCTCACCAGCTGCTCCTCAGAAACCCTATACAGGGTCACTATGGGTCAGAACTGACTCAATGACATTTAACCACAACAACAACAATAGAATTGTAGAAATAAGTAGATAACTCTACAATAATAGCAGGAGATTTTAATACACCACTTTTAATGAAGGAAAGAACAATTAAAAAGAAACTCATCAAAGACACAGAGTAACTAAACAAGAAAGTCAACCAACTGGACCTCATAGGGCTTATACAGAGCACTCAACCCAACAATAGCACAATATACATTCTTTTCCAGTGCACAAAGCAAGCCTCAGTAAATATATAAACATCAAAATACTACAAAGCATCTTTTCGGGTCACAATATTATAAAATTAAAAATGAACACTAGGAAAATGAATGGGGAAAAAATCATATACATGGAAAGTGAACAACACCCTGCTTAAAAGCTACTGTGCAATAGAACAACTAAAAACCGAAATTAAATTAAAAAAAAAAATACTTGAATCAAATGAGAACAAAAACTCAACAAAACCTTTGGGGCACAGCAAAAGCAGTGCTTCAAGGGTAGTTTATAGCAATAAATGCACATATACAAAAAGAATAAAGAACTAACATCAACATATTAATGCAACATCTCCAACAGTTAGAAAAAGCAACAGAGAAATCCTACAGCCACCAGAAGAAACAAAATAATAAAGATTAAAGCAGAAATAAGTGAAGTCAAAAACAGGAAAACAATAGAAAGATGACATGACAAAAAGTTGGTTCTTTGAAAAGATTAATAAAATTGACAAATGATTAGCAAATATAACAAAAGAAAAGGGTAAGTTCTTCATAGTAACAGAACACTGTGAAGAACTGAGGAGTCCTGTACAGGGTCGCTATGGGTTGGAACCAACTCGATGGCACTTAACAACAACATATATATTTACAGCACCATGCTTACTAGTTAGAAAGAAACTTGGAGGAACTGGAGACCGTGGGCCTCAACCACCTTTCAAGTCTGAAGTTAAATTTACTCTGCCCAATTTTCAGCCAAGCAGTAGATAGGTATATGAGGGGAGACAACACTAGTAAGGCGTGCTCACCATGGAGTGGTCAGACATTCAAGATCAAAAGAGTAACATTAATGTAAGGACAAAGTTGAGAACGGATACGAAGGAGGATGGAATGGAAATAGAACTACAGAAAGAAAGTGGGATAACTGTTATTGCATAGAGGGGATTGCAATAGAGATGAAACAAAGTGTGCGATTTGTTGAATGTAAAACTGATGATTTTCTCTGCAAACTTTCACTCAATTCGCAATAAAAAGTTTTTAAAAATCATATGCTTTATTGCAGCGGGCAAATCTGCTGCACAAAACCTCTTTAAAGTGTTCAAGAGCAAAAATATCAGTTTGAGGACTAAGGTGCACCTGACCCAAGCCATGGTATTTTCAATAACCTCACATACATGCGAAAGTTGGACAGTGAATAAAGAAGACAGTAGAATTGATGCATTTGAGTTATGGTTAGGGAATATTGAAAGCACCACGGTCTGCCAGAGAAACAAATAAATCTGTTAGTAAAGGTACAACCAGAATGCTCCTTAGAAGCCAGGCTGGCTAGACTTTGTCTCTCCTATTTCGGACATATTACGATGAGGGACCACTCCCGGGAGAAGGACATCATTCGAAAAAGAGGAAGACCACACACACACACACACACACACACACACAACTAGATGGATTGGCGCAGTGACAGCAGCAATGGGCTCAAGCCTTAACAATGAGGATTGTGCAGGACCCGGCCGCGTTTCATTCTGTTGTGCCTGAAACGACTCCTTGGTACCTAACAACAAAAGCTCCCTGGCGCTGTAGGAGAAACACCCACAAGGTTGGCGATTCAAACACATCAACTGCTCCTTAAAAACCTCCTCGGTATGAGTCAAAGCCACCTGGATGGCACTTAACAACAACAAAAGCTTCCAAAAATGAAAGCCGCATGCACGCCTTTCCTATTTATGTGAATAATTTCTTTTATTGGGAAGTTACTCTGTAAAATTTAACTAGCACTTTACTGCCACTGCCTCTTTAATCGTCACAATCCTATGATGTTGCTGTTGTTGTTGTTGTGAAGTGCCGTCGAGTCGATTCCGACCCATAGCGACCCTGTATAGGGTTTCGAAGGAAGCAGCTGGTGAGCTTGAACAGCCGACCTTGCCGTTCAAACGGCTTTGCAGTATGGTGAATTAACCCACAGCGTCACACCAGAACTCCAATCCTATGATATGGCACTATAATTATCTTCATGTCATAGATAAAGAAATTGGGATTTACAGAAGAAACAAATTGCTCCGGGTCTTGAATCCAGCCTGAGCACTGAATCAACCCAGACTTTAAAGGTCAAATTTCGCTGAGCTCTAGGAATGTCTTCAAAGGTAAACTCTTGAAGAGATGCACGGCATAGGTCCTCCCACACTATAGTCTCTCCCTTCTCCCTCTTCCCTACCTTCACTGCTAGCTCAAAGACGATTTCTCGATATAGATAGAAGAGACCGTAGCGGGCCAGCAACGCTGCGCATGTTCAGCCGCAGAGAGCGATGGGAAAAGGGAGGAGCCTCTGGGGGCGTTCGCATCAGAGGCGCGCAAAGGCTGTGTCGAAGTTCTTTTGAGAAGGCTCACGCGGCGAGATCCCTGAGAGAAATTAGTAAGCCTCCTTGTACGGCTTCGGGATCTGTCTTTATTCCTGTCCAGTCACCCTGCCTTACCGGAGAGGGGCTGAGAGTTTCTTCTGTCGGAGGGAGGCTGAAACGCCGGGGTTGGGCCTGGGTTGTAGGCACGGGGCCTGAGTTCGGACTCCGCCATTAGGTAGTCGGGAACTTGGGGCCAGGCCCAGACCTTGATTGTGTTTTTCGTCCCCTTTAACTTTGCCGGCAGAGAATCGGGACTCCTAACCCTCACGTGCAGGCCTACTGTTATTTCGTCATAACTGGGCTTTCAGCCTTTCGTCTCTGTCTGCGGCCTCCCTTACTTTCCAAAACGTTTCACTCATCTGACCACACCTGTGGCTTTCCATTAAGCAGTGATTTTCTAAACTTAGGTATTTATTTACTTAAATAAATCATAGCATTCCTTTTGCAAATGGAATCATACACGAGATCTGTGAAAGAGATCTAAATAATAAAATAATTCTTAACCATGAATATTTTACATATTTGAAGTTTGATTCTTAATGAATTTGGACTTGAAATTGGGATTATATGACGTATTTATCAATCTCAGTATCACTATTTCAATATATTGTTTTAGTATTGTTAAGTGCCATCGAGACGGTTCTGACCTATAGCGACCCTGTATGGGGTTTCCAAGGAGCAGCTGGTGACCTTGAACCACAGACCTTGCAGTTCAAATGGCTTTGCAGTTTGGCGCATTAACCCACAGCGCCACACCAGGCTGCAAATATCCTGATTTACACAGACTATTTTGCAAAGAGTAATTTTAATTAGGTTTCTGGGAATGTAATCTCAGACGCTTTTAATTAATCTAAAACCGAAGTAGAGAAGTGATTTTCTTGCTTTTAAAGAGTTTAAATCACTAATAATATCTGACGATGGCCTGTATTCCTCATAAATATGTAAGCGAGAAGCTCCAAAATGTGTAACAAGACCTACATTTAGACTTTGTAGCATCAGGATTCCACTTAAACATTTTTACTCTGCCCATTTATTTCTTAGGTTGGAGGGCTAGAGCATTAAAGGAATAAAATACTTGCTCAAATGTTGAATTTGCTTCTAGCAAGTTAGAATTCAAAAGCATCTGCCAATCAAAGTCACATTGTAGTCAGTTGCCCATATACAACAGGATCAGACTGTTGATAATCCACAGGGTTTTCTTTTCATTGGGAATTATTAAAAGTTGATGGCCAGGCCTTTGTTCCTAATCAGTGCCACAGCACCAGGAATTGAATTACCTTCACCCAGATAGCACTAAAAGCTATTTTCTGAAAGTATGTGTAATCACAAGTTAATGCTTTGAGAGTCTCTAAAACCTTAACCTTTGATACTGAGTCCTGGTGTGGCCCTGTAGGGTAAATCGTTGGACAACTAAGTTGTTTGAACTGTAAGGTTGGTGGTTCAAGCTCACCAGCTCCTTGGAAACCCTATACAGGGTCGCTGTGAGTCGGAACTGACTTGACAGCACTTAATAACAAAAACTTAAGCTTTGGTATATAATACAATTAAGTGTATCCCATGTTTTTATTAAGTGTGTGTTTTTTTCATAAATTTGTATTTAAAAAAAAATGTTTGCTGAACTCCAAAAGCACAGTTTGAGAGCTACTGACATAAAAGGATACATTCTAGGTCTTTGGGGTTGTGTTCAGGGACCTTCCTAATCCATGTCTGCTTTTCCAACATTATCTTCAACTATGAACCTCGTATTTTATCTTCAACAATAACCCTGCTCTTTTATTTCCCATATATTTCCCATATAGTTCATGCTGAGGCCTATGCCTGCAATATCCCCCATCAATATTTCTTGTTAGCTGCTATCCAGTCTGCACCAACTCATGATGATCCCATGTACACCAGAATAAAACGGTGCCTAGTCCTGTGTCATCCCCCAATAACTAACATATTTGAGTACTTCATTGTGTTCACTGTGCCAATCCATCTCACCAAGGGTCTTCCTCGTTCTCTTTGGCGCTCTTCACCAAACATAGTGTCCTTCTCCAGTGATGTTTCCAAAGCAAGAGAGACAAGTGTTCTGTTGTGAGCCATAGGCTTTCATTGGCTAATTTTCACAAGTTGATTGCCAGGCCTATTTTCTTAGTCCATGTTATTCTGTCCACTGAAACCTGTATGCCATTAATAAGCCTGTAGACAAATGACATAGCTTCCATCATCCTAGCAACACAAGCCACCACAGTACGACAAACTCATGGGTGTTAAAAATGCCTGCTAGACACTTTCTAAAATCTAACTCAAATTTCACCTTCAAGAAGACTAATTTGATAATCTTTCCCTCCCTCATTTCTGCTTTGTACTGTGTATACAAGTTGCAGTTACACTTTGCTTGGCAGAGCATTATGAGGATCAGGACTACATCCCTTTAATCCCAGAACCCAGGCACTTCACAAATGGTGGCTTCCCATTGTCTACATAATTAGCATGAACATTTTAGTTTGGTTTAAAAGTATTTTCCCTCTTGTCTCCAGCCTTCCTATCAAGCCAGTAAAAGAGCTTGCAGAAAACTAAACTAAATAATACAAACCTATGCAGTGCCCTAGTGTGGCACTGTGGGCTAATACATTGAATTGCAAGGTTGGTTTGAAACGCAAGGTCAGTGGTTCAAGCTCACCAGCCGCTCTGCTCGGAGTCGGAACCAACTCAATGGTATTGAACAACAACATGCAATGTATAATGAATAAAGACGTAGCTATAATGCAAGGAAATAACAGCTTTAATAATGTAATGGGAACTCAAAAAATTAAAATGATTGAAGTTGAGAATGAGAAGACAAATTAGAGAATGCTTTGGAGATGTCCGTTGAGCCTACAAGAATGCCTGAAAATTAGCCAGTACACTGACTCCCAGCTTGAGACATGGTCTTCATTTATGATTTATTTACTATTCTCTTAATCCTCTCCTTGTTGAATGTAGACATAATCATAATTGGTATTGATTCATAAACTAGAAATATACGTTCATTTCCTAATCTTAGTTCAAGATGTTTTCACGGAATGTAGATCTATAATTACTGTTTTTTTGTCTAACGTCAACTAAACCAATAACCATTCGTTTCAAATGTTTCATTTTCGTTTCTTTCAAGGTGAAGTAAAGATACTTTCATAACATTTAAAGTAATAATCATTTTTGAATTTTTATGATTTTTAAAATATTTTTCCCTGTTGTTGTTAGGTTTTGTCATAGTGATGGTTCATAGTTGGTTCAGACTCATAGTGACCCTGTGTACTGTTTCCTGTTGTTAGGTGCCATCATAGTGAGTCAGTTCTGACTCATAGTGACCCTATGCACATCAGAACTAGAGAAACACTGCTTGGTCTTGCACCATCCTCACACTTGTTATGTTTGAGCACATTGCTCCTGCCACTGTGTTAATCCATCTCCTTGGGGGGTCTTCCTCTTTTTCACTGTCCCTCCACTTTATCAAACGTACTGTTCTTCTCCAGGGACTGGTCCTACCTAATAACATGTCCAAAATATGAGAGACAGAATTTCACCATCCTGGCTTCTAAGTTGCATCTGGCTATTATTTCTTCCAATACAGATCTAGTTATTCTTCTGGTAGTGTGTGGTACTTTTAATATTATTCTACAATAGTGGTGGTGGTTATGTGCCGTGGACTCGATTCCGACTCATAGCGACCCTGTACGGGGTTTCTGAGGCTGTAAATCTTTACGGGAGCAGAAAGCCTCATCGTCTCCTGCGGAACAGCTGGTAGTTTCGAACTGCTGACTTTGAAGTTTGCAGCCTGAATCGTAACCACTACATTACCAGAGCATAGCATAATTCAAATGCATCAATTCCTTTACTATCTTCCG